GTCCCTCCAGCCTTCTTCACTCTGCCCCCACCCTCTGGAACTCCATCCCATAGAACCTCCGCCTCGCCCACTCCCTTGCCTCCTTCAAGACCCATCTAAAGACGATGATGCTTCTCCCCCTGCCCTCCACACTCCCCAATCCCGACCCCCATCTCGGGTCCGACACACTGACTGTCCAGCACCTGGGACCTCCCAATGTGGAAAGCGCTATATGCGTGTAATTTTGTTGTTGTTCAGTCAATTTTGAATCCATTGTCTGTTGGGTTACATTGACTGCCTCAGGCCTCTACTGGCATCCCTTCTGTTCTTTGAAGACATCAGTGAACTTGATTCACAGACTCAGTGCAGGATAGTGAAATATGCAGATTACACTAAATTGAAAAAAGCTGAGCAATTAGATAAGGCAGCAAAGGTTTTACAAAGAGAACTTATTTGGCTATGTACATGGGCATATTGCCAAATCAGTTGAGTTCAGATCCACAAAGCTCATTTCAAGCAGGACATTGCTCTCATCAGACCTCACCTAGAATAATACATATAGTTCCGGTTGCTCTGATATAAGAGAGCTGCGAGATCCAAGAGGCAGTGCAATGGAGAGCAAAGAGGGTGACCATTAGTGTTAGAGCAATGTGTTTTGAAGAATGATTACACAGATTAGGGTTCAATGCTTTAAAATTAGACTTCTCAACAAGTGCTATTATAAAGGCAAATAAGATGTTAAATGGGATTGAGGAAGTAAACCTAGAAAAATAATTTCAGAGGCAGTGGAACAAGTGGGCCTGCCTTTAGAGTTGCAAAGGGAAATTTCAGGAGATGCTAAAAATATTTCCAGAAGGTAATTAATGACCGGAAGGTGTTAATTAATCATAATAATTATCGTTGCATTTGGTAGCGTGCCTTTCATATCAAGAGGATGTCCCAAGCCACATCCCACTTTATTGAAAACAGGTAACAGTAGGCACTGATATCAATGGCAAGCTATGCGGTTTGGGCTGGTTGGACTCCAGCAGTATCCCAACGTACACTCTGCGGTTCCCAAGCCTTGACTCTTGCCAATCTGTGCCTAATACTTTCCAGAATTAGGTAAGCAGGATGTGTCCCTTCAGGGAGAGAGTGCTCATTCCATTCCAACAATCTATCTGTGGGATTTCCACATGTAGGTGTAATGAATGGAATTCTCAGCTTGGTTTGGATACTCTTAAGCACGTTGATGGGTTTCCTCATCTGTCAGACACCCAGCTGACTACCCAAAAAAATCAAACCGATAATATTTTCATAATATAAAAAACTCTGTGCTCCTTTTTGCCTTCATAAGGATAGTATGTGTTGTTTGTCAACTGACAACTGACCATTTGCATGGGAATTACATCAGCTACGTTACACCAAGTTCACTGCTGATATGCTTGATAGATTTATGACTCTGTTAAATCTTCAAAGAGAGTTTTAAATCGATTAACTTCCCATTAACTTGCGGTGCCTAATGGTATCGGTTCAAATGCTTGTGATGCAAATTATGTACAATTGCATCAACAAGAAATGACATTTTGTCCGAATTCCGGAAAGCAGTACCTGAAATTAAATCCTTACTGACAAACTACACATACTATCCGGTCTGAGGAACAGGAGAATTTGTGTATTCTGATACTTTTTCTCTTAAAAGGATTTTAAGTGTTTTTTCTTAAAATAGTCCCAGTTAATCAAACTTTTCGATTGAAAGATTGGTACAATTGTCACAAATGGTGCTCTTTATATAAACACCATTGCATTGCCAGATCCACAATTTTTGTTAAGCATTAACGTATTATAACTAGGAGTTAATTGTGGAATAAACTTAATTATATTGCAATTGCTGCATTAACGTATAAGTGTGCATTTAACCCGTAATGCCCTGGCAATATTTATACCAATCGTTCCATGCATCCAGGCTAAGTGTAGCTGAAGTGTAGCAAGTACTCTGGGACGTTACCCTACATGAGGGGCATTATACAAATGCAAGTTCTTGAACGACATATGCTGCTCTCTGGACTCACTCCCTTAATCCAAACACCTGCTTTGCCTCTGCCTTCAAATCCTATCTAAAAAGCTATCTCTGACCACATTTTTTACCACCACTCACACCTGCCTCTATCCACTAACTGAGGCCAATGCTTTGTATTGCCACCCTATTCATTGGGGCTTTGGCTTACAGGGTTAACAAGAGCCGATTGGGAGGATTCCCTGCCCCCAGGATTGATCTGCCCCTCCAAGTTCTTCCGAGGAGCCAGGCTGGTTGCGCTGTCATCAGTGCCCTGGAATACTGTGGACCCGCTTGGCTCAGGAACCAGATTACCAAGACTGCCACAAAGCGCTGGCTCGATTCCGACATGCCATCGACAAACATGCCAGTTCAACTCCAAGGAGACCTCTGCTTACCTGTCCCCCAAGGGGGATATTCTTCTGCTTTTTGTGCAGTTTTTAAACATACTTGCAGCAGATGTTGCCTTAGAGTTCCTTCTTTTTTGATTTGCTGAGTGTTAGCAGCACTACTTCGCTGGGGCAAGATTAATCTAAATGTAATCTGGTCGGGTGCTGATGTGTAAAACACAGAGTTTGGGTATAAAACCATCTCTTTTGTTCTATAACACTTGCTGATAATTAACCTCACTTGACTAGTCTGAACCCAGCAGGGAGTCTTGACAAGCTAATTATTGAATAATATGGTTGCGTATTATCAATTAAGGAAAACTATAGGCCCAATGTTTCTGTTGAGTACGCTGGTATCAGCATGGAGGAGTTCTGCTGCTGGCTTTGCATTTTTCCAAGGTGTCATCATTTTAATTGAATTTCAGTCCAATGTTTCCTCAAGTGCTGATTCAGAGTAATAGGCAGCAGAAGTACTAAGTCTTTCTCGGAACTCTGCACTTTCACCAGCTCTGACAACGTGTGTTGCCTATTAAGAGGACATGTTGGAATGATTCATTTCAAAGTAAAAGCAAAATATAACCCTCCTGATTTCTTCACCGAGCATCTGTCTAATTCATCCTTGAATTTGCTGGCACAATTGTTTGCCCCGAATCACCCATTCACATATTCACTGCCCTGTATGAAGTAATTCAGCTTGAACTGAGAGAGGATAGAGCGTCACCTGATCACATGGAGGGGACGAAAAATGTCTGATCACATGGAGAGCGAAGGGCACCCTTTGCCGCTTGCGCACTTACCGGCCTTGAAGCAGCACACGCATCGCTGTGCGCAATTGGCTGCCACGTTTCGCCCACAAATATATAGTCAATTCACTTTACAGTCTATCTGCGAAGCACTTTGAGATGTCTTGAAGACAATAACAACAACAAAATTACATTTGTATAGCGCCTTTCACGGCCGGAGGATGTCCCAAGGTGCTGGACAGACGGAGTTATGGACCTGAGCTGAGGGTCGGGGAGGGCAGGGGGGGAAGCAGGGAGATCGAAAGAACGGTCGAAGAGGAGGGCCTTGAGGTGGGTCTTGGTGGTGAGGGAGGGGGTGAGATGGAGGGACTGCGGGATGGAGTTCCAGAGGATGAATGCAAAGTGGCAGAAGGCCTGCCCACCAATTGTGGGGCGAGCAAGGCGGGGACATGAAGCAGGCCGGAGCCCGCTGAGCAGAGGGAGCGAACAGGGTAGTAGGGAGTTAGGAGGTCAGAGAGTTAGGGGGGAGCAAGACCATGGAGGGCTTTGAAGGTGAGGACCAGGATCTTGAACTGTATCCTCTGTGTGATGGGAAGCCAGTGGAGTTGGGCAAGGATGAGGGTGACAGGGTCGTGAAGCCTAGTGCGGGAGAGAACAGGGGCTGCACAGTTCTGAATGATCTGCAGCCTGTGGAGGGAGGAGTTAAGGCGTGATAAGGCTCTATATCAAAAAAAATTGCAAGGTTTATTATTAACAGTCAGAGAGCAGTAAGACCTGCTGATAAGTGCAAGTTACTGGATCTAGTATCAGAGCGACACACAGGATTTATGGGGAAACATTAACTGGTGCTGTCAGGCAGGGTCACTCAATTGATTAAGGGGAACACTTTAAGGTTTTTTTTTCTTTTTGTCATGGCGCTTATTGCTGTGTCCAGTGATGAATGTGCTCAAGTGGGAAGTGGGTGCAAGTGTGAGCCAATGTTTGGTGTTTGTAAAAGGAAACCAACTTTGCAAATGTCACTTCCATGCCTAACTATAGTTGAGTTAAATTGCAAGCCTTTGGGGGTTTTCGGACACCATTTTAATCAAGCTTGCAGAGACAGGATGTTTCATTTTAGAACTCTTTACATAGCAATGTGCATGATACAAAAAGGTATAGAGTAAAACTTGCGTAAGTCTGATCTGTATAAATCGTGTAATCGCCTAAGTCGGACATCTGCCAAGTCCATTTGAGTTTCCCATTAAAACCAATTAAATGTATCTACACTAGTCCTATTAACAATTGCACAACTCGTAACACAGCTGCTGCACTTGCCGCTACTGGACTTACCTGGTGCCGAGTCAGACCTTTTTGTCCCGCGCCGATCTCAAACGGAATACGCACCCCATTGCTCTCCGCGCCCTCCCTCCCAGGGCTGGTAATACTAATACCATCCCGCACGCCAGTAGGGGAGGGATCGGCTGAGAGCGGAAAGAGAAAAACTTCGGGCCACCCACTCCCTCTCTCCCCAGCGAACTGTCTGCTCACGGCAGCAGCTGGAGTCAGAGATTGGGAGGACCCTTGAACTTGCATTGTGCTCCGTTGGAACAGAGTAGGAGGCCATGGACAGGACTGAGAAAGATCAGATGGATTGGGTATAATCCATGATAGGCCAGGCTATATATGTTCTGAGGTGGAGACTGTTTGAATGGTCTTTGTTTACTTGTATAATTACATAATTAAACATTCCATTGCACACTGAGGTTAATGGGGTCATCACTGTCATACTGGTGTCTCTCAACTTCTGATGAATTTTGCTGTAGGTTACAGGACTCCTCCACCAGGCAGTTCATCAATGTATGTTTTGTTTTTCAGACAAGATTGAAGATGAACTTGAAATGGCTACAGTATCCCATCGACCGGAAGGTTTGGATCAACTGGAAGCTCAGACCAATTTCACTAAGCAAGAACTGCAGGTGCTTTACAGAGGCTTTAAGAATGTAAGCAACTGATCCACCATTGAAAAGGAGAGTGACTTCAAACAATGCTCAATGAGATTAAATAATGCAATGGAGGCCGCTTAATTCAGTTATGTCGGGGCAGGCCGTTTTGTCTAAATTAACCGGCCTTCAAAGTTATCCCAAGTCAACACATTAAATAGCACACAGTTGTCTTCATTACTCAACCTATTACAGCACCAATTACAGGACACCCGCTGCATATGTAAAGGCCTGAAAAGAATGCTCTGTGATCATTTACAAGCAACGAAGGTGATTGCCCTTTCATAAATTTAAATACTGTACAGTATTCTTTTTCCCGATGCAGTTGACAATCAGGTCAGCCAGCATCGACTTCTTGACGTTGAGTCTTCTGGCTAGTTCTCGTAGAGGAGTCCAAAGTGTTTTCTTCTTGACTCTTGTCTAAAACGTCTAGCTTCTATGGGACCTACATGATTTTTACACAAACTGATTGCGAGGATGGGAGCTCTGGGTTTTTTTTATGACCCGATGAAGTGTATTTCGCATGTGGCCACGCTCAGCAAATCCTCAAAGGTGTCCCTCCTATGTCAGCTGCTTAATCAAAGCGTGGAAAGACGGGGCAAGCTCATCTTCACAGAATGCGCAAGTGAGTTCATTATCAAAAAGCGCCATGTAGCAGCGACCACCGGTGCAGCACTTTGTCCGAATTAAACAGATGCATGTCCAAATAAAGTGGAATATTTTAAAAAGACTTAGAATAGAAACAAATTGGGACCTGGCATTTTGCACAAAATAAATGGCGCCCAAAGTTATCCGGCGTCCAAATTAAGTGGCCTCCGGTATAATTCAGTCCACCTTCGCCCCCCCATCCTCACACACAGATTCTTTCCATCTCTGATTAGATGAGCGATGAGAAGGGAATTAGCATGGATAAAATTGGGTAGAAGGCGCTGGCAAAAAAGAATGCAAAAGCCACAAGGAGATATGAGAAAAAACTGGCAGGGAACATAACGAAAAATAGTAAAGGGTTTTATAAACACATAAAAAGCAAAAGAACAGTTAAAGGAGGTACTAGATGCTCTGACTACAAATTTTCCACCAGCCTTGGTTTTGAGAGTTTTGCCAGGAGACTGGACCATAGCTAATGTAATGCCTTGTTATAAAAAGGGAGAATGGGACCAGCCAAGTAATTATAGACCAGTCCCTAGTGGTCAAACTTTTAGAGGCTATCATGTGGGATAATATTAATAAGCACTTGGAGAGACATGGGTTGATTAAAGATAGTCAATTTGTTAAAGTCAAGCCTTGCCTGACAAATCTAATAGAGCTGTTTGATGAAATAACCAGGAAAATAGATGAAGCAAATACCGTGGATGTGGTATATATGAATTTTCAGAAAGCTTTTCATGAAGTGCGCTTTGGGGGATTGTTAAAAAAAATTCGGGCTCATGGGATTAACGGAAAGTTAGTAGCTTGAATAGAAAGTTGTTTAAAGGTTAGAAAACAGAGAGTGAGAGTACAGGTTTATTATTCATGTTGGAGAGAGCAGCTCCTGTCAATCACTCTCAAAATGGTAACAGGAGAGAGACTGATACAGACAGAGAGAGATACAGATACACAGATAGACAGACAAATACAGACACACACAGATAGAGAGAGAGAGAAACAGATACATATACAGAGACACACACAGACAGAGAGAGATACACTGAGAGCCATACAGACCGACAGATACAGAGAGAGACAGATACAGAGACCCATACAGACAGACAGACAGACAGACAGACAGACAGACAGATAGATAGACAGATAGATAGATAGATAGATAGATAGATAGATAGATAGATAGATAGATAGATAGATAGATAGATAGATAGATAGATAGATAAATGGAGAGATAGATAAATAGATAGATAGATAGATAGATAGATAGATAGATAGATAGATAGATAGATAGATAGATAGATAGATAGATAGATAGATAGATAGATAGATTAGATAGATAGATAGATAGATAGATAGATAGATAGATAGATAGATAGATAGATAGATAGATAGATAGATAGATAGATAGATGATAGATAGATGGAGAGACACAAACAGATACACAGAGACAGATACCTTGTCGATGGCTGTATTATTGTTTAACATTTGGAGGCATTTTTACATTGTCTATTTAAAGTTTGCATTGCAACTAAAATATAGTGAAATTAAATACTGTAATACAGTACACAATTTAAAACATAGGATTTTTATATGATTCTTACACGTTATGTTTCTGGAAGAGAAACACAAAGATATCGCTTCTGAGGCCACGGATGTTTCTCAAATCCAGCATCTGGCCCTCAGCAGCCAAAAGGTTGGACCACCCTGATTATAAATGATCTGGATTCTCGTAACGGTACACAATTTCTAAGTTTGCAGATCGTATCAAGATATTAGGACATAGGTTTACAGTTTTTTAATGTAATACCAGGATTTTTTTCTTTACGCAGAGGATAATCAATGATTGGAACAGGTTGGAACGGTGATAGAGACCAGGACACTAGACTCATTGAACAAGTAGCTTGATGCAATACAAAATTACATTTGAATAGCGCCTTTCACATCAGGAGAATGTTCCCAGGCTCGAGACAGTAATAAACTACAAAATTACATCTGTACAGCACCTTTCATGTCGGGAGGACGTGCAGGGATGGGAGGACAGAACAGTAGGGTGGATGTTCTGGAGGGATGAAATCGGTTAGGCCTTGTGATCTTGTATAATTACACCGATAATGTTATAATCAACAATCTATACGGAGTTACTGACCTCACTTGGGGAAGCCACAGACCTCTTGTGGGCTGTACCATAAAGTGCATGGATGATGACATCAAGTGATGTCATGAAGGTCGTTTAGTCCATCAATCTTCATGAAAGAACAAGTTCTCCTGCGGAGCAGATCCAAATCACAAAGCAAAATGTTCACTTGGAAGGAAGAATTTGAGGTGAGGGGATCAAGACTGTTAACTTTCTCATTGTCGTGAATTACAGGAGTGTCCCAGTGGCGTTGTCAATGAAGAAACGTTTAAGAAGATTTACTCACAGTTTTTCCCTCATGGAGGTGAGTGAAAGAAGGGCTGAGCTTTGCAGGGCTTTTAAATGGAGATTCCAAGAAAAGCCTAATCATATTTTTCTCAATCACACGTTCTGTGCCGTTATATTTCTGCGCTGAAATGTGAAGTTGAGGGGGATATCGACAACAACAACAACTTGCATTCATATAGCGCCCTTCATACGAGGCAGCGTCCTGGAGCGCTTCACAGTGGCGGATTCTGACAATGAGCCAGGGGAGAGGGAGTGGACACCGGGTACCTATTGTAGCTGAACTAAATCATAAACACATTGAAAATTTTCCAAATGTTGGTCTTATTAAGTTATACTGATCTGAGTTGAGCAGCAACTGTTCTCAGATGAGGCAGCAACTTACCATGGATTTGGGGAACACGATCCAGTTTGCTTTCCAGAAGCCCCCAAATTAAGTTTTAGCCTTAAATTTTACGTTTCATTAAACCTTAACTCGCGCAGTCTTATTGGAAAATTAAAATAATAAAAATCCTTGCATTTGATATAATGCCTTTTACATTAGGACTTCACTGTAAAGTGTAATTATATTTTATAGGATGACATCTGGAGAAACTCCCTCCTCTTTCTGAATGTTTTATGGGAACTTTACCATATGTTTAACATCCACAAAACAAGTAGATGGGAATAATAATTATTATTAATAATATTAATATTTCTCATCCAAAGGACAGCAGCTCAGAAGGATCTAACCTCTAACAATGCATTGCACTGGAGTAACAGCCAAGATTGTAAAGTGCTGATATGGGGCTTGAACCCCAAACCTCCTGACTCAGAGGCACTGTTTGTTAACACCGTTCCCTAATTAAGGAACAGTAATGTGTTTAGGAGCACCAGAATTTCGACCGAGAGTTTAAAAAATGTACACTTCCAGACACAGAAAGTTCCAGAATTCAAACCAGTTTTTCTAAATTGATTAAGATTAGAGGAATTGACCAACTGTAATAACTTGAGGGCCTTTTTTTCTACGTCTCCAGATGCCAGTATGTACGCACATTACCTCTTCAACACATTCGACAGTGCCAACAATGGATCGGTCAAATTTGAGGTGAGAGCTCATTCAGGGGAAGCTAGAATTGATTAAATAAAAGGTTATTGAGTTTTTAAAATCATTCCGTGCTAGAAATTCAGAGCATTGACCACAAAACACAAATGGGTACCGTTGGACTTGAACCAGCAAAAATAATGCAGGTTTGAGTAAACTTCTCCAATGAGTCAGTGATTAGAAAGTAAGATCCGCACCAAATATAGGAACGAGTGAAGTTAGGATTTAAAAAAAACAAACAGATGGTTATTGTCATAATAATCCTTGCATTTGATATAGTACCTTATTAGAAAAGCAACAATTGCATTTATATAGTGCCCTTCACGTACAATAAAGTCATGGAGTGCTTCACTGTGGCAAGAGTTAGATGCCAAGCTATGGATCATCGGGGCACGGTCAGCTACTTGACATGGGGGTGGGGGTGAGGGACCAAAGTAAAGCAAGAGAAATAGAGCAGGAGTGTAAGAGAATCTGGGGTGTTGTGAACAGATCACATTTGTCAATTTAGGCCTGAACTGACAAATTGCTAATATTGATTAAATGGCAAAGAAAATTGTGGTTAATGGGATTGTGGGCGAGTTAGTAAAGAGAGTTTAGAAAAAGGTACAAAATTTAAAAATAATAGTTAAAAAGAATCCTTAGCTTTTTTTTGTGAATGACAACACTCCACACTCCACTGGTTGCTGGACACTGAACGTCACTCCACTTTATACTTACAGCAGGTGTAGAATTGCAAGGTGCACTATTTGTTTTAATATTAATAATCCTTGCATTTGATATCGCACCTTATCACTTTTTCGAGGCGTCTTAAAGTGCTTCGCAGAATATACTGTAAAGTGAATTGACTATATATTTTGTGGGCGAAATGTGGCAGCCAATTGCGCACCACAGTGTTTTATCTGTTTTAAAGTTTATCAGTGTTTTAAAGTGAGAAAAATGCAGTTGAAGATCCTGGTCCTCGCCTACAAACCCCTCCATGGCCTCGCCCCACCCTACTTCTGCAATCTCCTAATCCCCTACCAACCCGCCCACTCCCTCCGCTCAGCCGGCTCTGCCCTGCTCCACATCCCCCGACCCACCCGCCCCACAATTGGCAGGAGAGCCTTCAGCCACTCTGCCCCCAAACTGGAATTCCATCCCCCAATCACTCTGCCTTGCCCCCTCCTTAGCCTCCTTCAAGTCCCGCCTCAAAACCCTCCTCTTCGACCAGGCCATCAGTCAGCCCCCTTTCCCTTCCCACCCTTCTCCCTCCCTGACCCCAGCTCGGGTCTGAAATGCTGTTTACTGACCAGCGCCTTGTAACGTCCTCCCAAATGTAATCTTGTTGTTGTTTTAGACTATATATGAACATTGGGCTGACAGGATGGGGAATGTATTTTAATGTGCAGCATACTTGTTCCATTTGAAGATCAGAAGAGGGTAAATGACATAAACAGATGTTAGCTTGTTTCACCCTTGTACTTACAACTATAGAAATTTGTGGCACAGAAGAAGGCCATTTGGCCCATCAGGTCTGCACCAGCTCCTTTAAGACCAATCTTTTCAGTTCCATTTTCCTCTCTCCTCTCCCCATACCCTGACTCCTTTCAAAGTATTTATTCAGTTCCCATTTCAAAGCTCCCAGCAGGACATTCAATATGCGTATCCTAACTACTGGATGTGAAAACATTTCTCCTAACCTCTCCATTTGCTCGTTTACTAACTATGTTAAATTGATGCCCTCTGGTGACTTACTCATCAACCAGTGGAAAACACTTGAATACACTTAAAATTCTGCATTCCCAGCGTACAAGTGATTTATCTCTGATTGCATGAAGATGAGCAGTATATATGTAGACTGCTAGTTAGCTTCCTCAGGCTTTCTGGGGGGGTTTGTATTTATCAGCACTAACACAAGAGGTTTAATCAGAAGCCTGGTTAGTAAAAGCATATTTTGTGATATAATAAATCAGTTTTAAGGTTTTGCCTCTAAAAATGCCATCAGCCAATGTGTCTTACATGGAACATTTGAAGTCTTGCAGCCTTCCAAATCCCTATTTCTCCGACAGGACTCCTCTCCACGCAGTCTATCCTTTCTCTAAAATAGACAGCCTTCCTCCCTTAGTTATAAAAATTAATTTAAAGAAAACAGCTGGATGGTGTGATATTTTGCCTTGAATTGGAGAGAGTTTTGAGAGGAGCAACACGGATGATTTCAGGACCTTGAGTTGAACTTTACATTTGATAAGGTGTGATAAAGTGCTATATCGAATGCAAGGTTTATTATTTCACATCGGGAAGATGTTTCAAAGCACTTCACAGGATTTCACATACAGTGTAGTGACTGTATTCTGTAGGTGAAAGTTGTGAGGATGGCACATTTTATCATTAGAAAGATTGATGTGATCACATGATTCAGTTTTATAAATTAACCAAATTTGCAGTCCTATTTAACCGAGACTTGAGAGCAGGGATTTATGCTCGAGATTTAAGTAAAAATCCTCAAGTGGGATTAAAGATTAGAAGAATATTTTTCGCTGCAGATTATCAGTGGAACAGATACCAACAAAAAAGTTGGTCATGATATGTCAGTTAACTCTGTGAAAAGGAAAAGGATGTGTATCTAGTTGATATAGTATTTTATTTCAGAGAGATTATCTCATCCATCTAGGCTGGATTAGAACCCTGGTCCAGAGGTGAGCATCCAATGTCTAACTCACTGCAATACCTAACCTTGTTACTGTGAATACTCATTGAAACTAGCAAAATACTGTTAATATTAGACGTTTATTGAATTACATAGCAGTTTATGAACCGGGGAAGATATTTGGCCCATCGAGTGCGCTCTGCATCAGACCATTCCATGTTACTGCAAACTATTACATCTGTCATCGATTTATAACATGAATGTTTCTTATAACATGAATATTTCTACTTTTTGTGGATCGATTCAGCCATTTCATTATCAAACCAGTTTAACAATATTGCTGCGCATGTGTTTTCATGTGTAACAACAGCCTTGTCCAGGATTGAAAGCCCAATAATAATTATAAATTGTTCTTGTTTCCCTTTGTACTTTGTGGGATCTATAGCATTCAATTACCCTGTCTTTTTGCTGAATTTCTCGTTCATTCCAAAGTTTTTCATTTCCCCTAATTACCACTCCAGAAACATTACAGAGAAAGTACCAACGACATGTCACCAGGCATTTAGTAAGTCAGACAGGAGTATTCTAAACTGTTATAGCTGTTTTTTGCATCATTTCAGGACTTTGTGATGGCTCTTTCAGTCTTGCTAAGAGGGTCACTTCAGGAAAAGCTGAGATGGACATTCAATCTATATGACATAAATAAGGATGGTTACATAAATAAGGAGGTAAGATGCCACCATTGGAGTTCACATGTGAGTGACACCTGACTTTCCAGGAAATCCATGGACTGAGATATTAATTACACACATGTTTAACTGTGGGAGTTTAGGGTTATACAAACAGAGCAATGTTTTCTAAAATCTCAGATTGAGATGCCACTGTTACTGATGGACGATTCCTGTAGATAGCTCTGTACGTTTGTAAGTGCCCAATTCATCTCGTCATTCATCAGTTATTGGGGATTCTGGCCTAGGACACCAGGAGAAACCCCACAATCAGAGTAAATGATTGGAGAGGTACAAGAGAAAGGTAATTCCCTGTTGTGGACAACATTGAATTATTTGTGTTAACATTTACTTCACCCAGGAAATGACGGATATAGTAAAGGCGATTTATGACATGATGGGGAAGTACACTTATCCAGTTCTAAAGGACAATGCACCTCGACAGCATGTGGATGTCTTCTTCCAGGTAATGGATTTTATAAACTCGCTAAAGGGTTCAAATTCCATTCACAGCATGATTTTAGAGGGGTCACCTAATTTGGAGGTGTGCAAGAGATGGAGTGGATCAATGTTACATGCCAAATTCCTGTGGGTTGTTGTCAAGTTTTTTTGCACTCTGTCTGTGCCATCCAAACCATGGAAGGGCCCTCCCATTGCCATCTGTCTGCTTTTTAATTTAAAATAGGAAATTGTGTCATTTTGAAAACATCATATACACCATTGTATATATAATTATTTGTTATTCTTTGATTTTGATGGATATCAGTGTCTATTTTACCTTTTTATAAGAAATTTTTCATTTTTTAAACAATTTATCTGACAGAAAATGGACAAAAATAAAGATGGAGTTGTAACCATAGACGAATTTATTGAATCTTGCTTGCAGGTAAATCTCTTTCACCATCTAACGGCCCTGTCTTGATAATTATTGGTGTTTACTATTTATGTGTGTCAGATATAACTGAAGTAACAGTATACGGTCTGTAAGAATCTTTGAAGATGTGAATGAGATACAGTGGGACAGTATGAGATTCCCTTAATCAAGGGCTAATTCCAATTATTTATGTGTGAATTTGACAGTGTTGTTGGCGGTTTATTCAAACATAAACAATCTTAAACTGACATTAATTGTGGGATCTAATGGTACATTTGGACGGGGCGGGGGTTGGTCTCGCTAGTGATCAATTGTAACTCCTGGCTAATTTTCTCATTCCATAATCTCCAGGATCTGAGAGCCATTATAGCCCCAACTAAGATCAATTTCTCCGCACAGAGTGGGGATTGAGACTTTCGATCCATCGGTCTGTACACCAGTGTTTCTCTGGGTAGTTTCTACTTCCACAAGGCCATGGGAGAACTAGTATTGTTCCTATTTAACCATGTTATGAGGGATCGTCAACAGGCCCTAGCGCTAATTATATCAGTGATTATAAACATAACCCCCTTCTGCTGCCAGCTCCTGGGTGCTAGAAATGTGGGACATTGGACAGGGTATTATAACCTATGTGCACTGCAATCGGCTTAGTCAGACATAGATGTCCATTTTGACCTTGTTCCTTCAATAAATTATGTAGTGTATTGAGGAACTAGGAACCAATATTAACCCCATTAAAAGTATCCTTGTCGTTTATGGCCTGCAACTCACTGCATATCTCTGATTCCTATCAGGATGAGAATATCATGAGATCGTTGCAACTCTTTGAAAACGTCATGTAGCTGCTCAGCGTAAATCCTCCCAACAGGTGGAGATTGGAATGACACTGGACATTCGCAATCGATGGCTCAAACAGAACAGGAGACCTGTGTCTGCTCCCTGCAAGTGACCTCCAGCACCTGGAGCGTGGCGACCTTCAGGCACATTTTCTTAAAAAAAAATGTCAGAACTATCCTGAAGAAACTTTCGAAAGGATTCAGTGTTTTTTTTATTTTGTAAAGCATGCTGTCTTGTAAAGGTACATGAATGGGTAAAACATACTGCTGATTAGAGATAATAGCTTCGGTGGGACCTTAGTTTCTGCCAATCACAGTACTTTATGCTTCAGATGTAGCCAAACTAACTGCAACCACAAAGCACAATGCTGGAAACTGCTGGACTCTTCTCTTCCTCTATTTCTCTTTATCTGCTGCTCTCGCTGTTTCTCCTTTCCCTCACTCTTGCTCTCTCCCTCCATAAAACCATAGAAATATACATCATAGAAGGAGGCTATTCAGATCATCATGTCTGTGTGGCTCTTTTAAAGAACAATCCTTTCAGTCCCATTTCATAGGGTCATGGAATACAGCACAGAAGGAGGCCATTCGGCCCATCATATCTGTGCCGGCTCTTTGAAAAGAGCTATTGAAATCAATTCCACTCCCTCACTCTCTCCCCATAGCCCAGCAAATGTGTCATCTCCATTTGCTTGCCCTTTCCCCATATCCTTGTAATTTACTCATTTTTAGATATCTATTTAGTTCCCCTTTGAAAGTCAATATGGATTCTGCCTCAACCACCACTCCTGGCAGGACATTATGTATCCTAACCACTCTGTGTGTGAAAAAGATTCTTCTAATCTCCCATTTGCTCATTTACTAGAATCTTAAATTGAGACCCTCTCATCACTGACTCACCGACCAATGGCAATAATTTCTCATTACTGACTCTATGAAAACCCCTCATAATTATAAAGACCTCTATCAGGCAACCCCTCTGCCCTCCTTGTTCTAATGGAAAACAGTACCAGCTGCTCCAGTCTCTCCTCATAGGCCAAACCACTCAATTGCTGGTGTCAACAGAACAATACTAATTTACGTTTATATTGCGCTTTCGTGTCAGGAGGACATCCCAAGGCCTTGTATAGTCCAGGGTTTGCATCTGAGCTGGGGTCTGAGTAGGGCACAAAGGCAGTGAGGAGGAAAAGATGGCCTAAAGTGAAATCAAAGACTTCAGACAGACTTTGAAAGAGACAAGGGAAGGGGCGAGTAAATCATCCTAGTAAATTTCATCGGCACCCCCTCTATTGCCTTGATGTTCTTCCTACAGTGTGTGGCAATATTCAAACTGTGATCTTCCTAACAATGTATATAAGTTTCGCGTTACTTTTTTGATTTATATTCTCTACCTCTATTGAAAAAATTAAGGATTCTATTTTCCTTCTTGACAGCTGTGTCCTTCTATCTTTAAAGATCCATGTACTGAACCCCAGGACCTTCTGCTTTAATATTTTACCACATAACATATAGTTGCTCTTCTTATTCTTCCTCCCCAAATGTATAACCGTACATTGGTCTGCTTTAAATTTCATGTCATCTCTCTGCCTGTGACAGTGTATGTCCCCGTGAAGTTTACAGACTTCTTCATTGTTAGCTAAACTCCATTTTTTGTGTTATCTGCAAACTTAGAAATGGTGCCGTTTATACCAGAATAAATAAATGGAGAAAAGCACTGGTCCTTAAACTGGGAGTGGCACTACTATTATTGCATCTCTCCCTTGTAAATAACAATCCTGTACTCACCCTCTATTTCCTATACTTTAATCAACTTTCTATCTACGCTGCTACCTTTACATTAATACCATGCACTTTACTTTTTTTACCAAGCCTCCAGTATGGCTCTTTTAAACGCCTTCTGAAAATCCATATATACTACATCCACAGTATTGTCTTTATCTAATCTCTCGGCTATTTTATCAAAGAATTTTCTTAGATTTTTCAAACAAGAATTGCCTTTAACAAATCCGTGTTGAATGTCTTTAATTTATACATAATAATAATCCTTGCATTTGATATAGAGCCTTATCAAGTCTCAAAGCACTTCACAGAATACACTATAAAGTGAAATGACTGTGTTTTGTCGGCGAAATATGTCTTTCCAAGTAGTTATTTCATATTATCCCATAATATTGCCTCTATAATGTTTTCCACTATGAACCCATTAGACAGACTGATCTATAAATACTTTGCTTTTCATGATCTACCTCCTGTTCTATAAATCTTTCTCTCTTGTAAGCTTTTGATCTTACTCTCATTTTCTCTTTCACCATTGCATGATCTTTCTCTCATAGATTCTCTCTCACACTTTCTGTATTTCAGTCACTGACTCCCTTTTCTATTTCATTCTCTCTTTCTCTCAAGTAAATGGCTTCCATTTGATCTGGGAAACACAGTTGGAGGCCAATTAACGTATTTAAATGTCGACAAGGCGGAAGCCATATTCCTTGGCTTTTTAAATTTCAACGTCAGCGTCTTCTGTCCTGCAGCTCTAACCTCCCTGGTTTATCCCTCAAGCTCACCGAACCGGTGTGCAACCTAGGCATCAGGTTCGACCCACAGCTGTCTCTTTTTTGCACTTTTCTGTCTACCTCTCTCTTGATTCAACAAATTGGGTTGAATTGCCTCCTAATCTGTCATAGACTTCTATGGTTCTCACTCAGGCTCTCTCGTGTTCGCTGTCACATTTTCACTCTCTACAGCAAGCTTCATGCATGGCATTTGAATAATCATATTTGCATTAAATGTATATTGACCCATTTGAACTTTAGTGGCTTCATGTTTTATCCTTTAATTTTGAACAGAACTGTGCTCTGCAATTCACATTGGTGGATCTTTTCTATGTCCTGAAGACTCATAATTAGATTAGAAACGTGGAAGTGTGGTTAACCTTGTGCATACATTTTACAGCGAGCAGCTGAGTGGGTTACATTTGCTGGACATGTAATTGATCCACCATTGTGTGGAAGCAGCTGAGTTCCACCATCTCCCATTGTTGTCGGTGTACAATAATTAAACAATAAACACCTGAGACCTTTGCTCAAAGATTCACAATGACAGAAATTTAAAGGATCAACATTGAAAGAGTGCTGTGCTTTTAGTAATAATGACATTTACACTAGATAAGTTAACTGGAATGTGAAACCGCAAGCCGCCCTGGGTGGCATTTGGAATGGGCATTAACTAAGATCGCACTGAATACAGGAAGTTTTTCACTCATGGCTCAGTGATGCACCTGCCCAGAATTTATTCCAAAAGTCTTGAGCATATAAAAAATATTTTTATTCTACCCCTTTTCTCATGATATAACCAGTTCCTTCCGCCATCAGTACTAATTTAGTGATAAGTCTGCAGTCAGTATGTGGGATTCGCATGATATCTTTTTCTCTGGCAGGCAAATTTAGAGAAACAGGTTCAGAATGTTCTAATTCAGGAAGCGTATCTATGTCTAGATAGTTTTACATTCTATTGTTATTTTTGGTCGACATATTAAAACATTTCGTATTAACAACATTTCTGACGACTGAGTTAATCAATTTTTCTCTCTGTCAATTTTCTCTCCTGAAGGTATTTGACCTTTAAGCGCTCCGGGAGGCGCAAAATAAATGCCAGTTGTTGTTGTTGACAACTTTTTCCTTCCACTAGGAGATTGTTCCAGGCACCTTACCCAAATGACCATGATGCATGTGTGAGCCTTGACAGTGAGTGTTGTAATATTGTGCTGCTGCCAGACTCACCTGGGGACCTTCTGCGCTGCACTTGCCAACTTGAACACTGGGCCAATCGGTGGGACATGGTGGTAGGTTCCTACACAGACACATTCCTATGTCCAGCACCTGGAATCCACATTCATTGGCTTCAGAGAGGAAAGCAGCTGCTGCTTAAACTCCACAACTCCAACCTGTGGAAACAACACTCAATGGGAAGGGACGTATGCCTGAGCTGCGGACAGGAAGATGATGGCAATGCTCTCGTGCATTTCATGCTGAGCTTTGTTGCCCACTGGGAAGCTTGCAGGGACTTCCTTGTACCTACCTTCCACCTAGCGAGGGGTCAAACCTGCACTTGTCGGATGTCGAACGTCCAACTAGTGACTATCCTCCTTGGGGACAGTTAAGCAGGATCTCCTTGGCACTGAACTGGCTCCAAGGGATCATGGAGTCATCCCACTTAGCTCCTGTTAACCCTACAAGTGAAATCCTAAATGATAGGATGGTCCTAGCTGGACAAGCAGCAGGAAAGCTTGCCAGACAGCGATATCATTGGCAAGCTATGCAGTTTTAGCTGGTTAGACTCCAGCAGTACCCCAACACATACTCTGGAGTTCCACGCCTTGGCTCTTGCCAACCTGCCCCTAATACTCTCCGGAATTAGGTAAACAGGATGCGATGCTCCAAGGAAAGAGGGTGCATTCCATCAATCTGTTTCTGGGATTTCCAAGTGTAGGTGGGATGCATGGAAATCTCAGTTTGGTTTGGATACTCTTTATAATAATAATAATCCTTGCATTTGATATAGCGCTTTTCACGTCGGGAGGACGTCCCAAAGCGCTTCACAGAAAACACTGTAAAGTGAATTGAATTGTTGGCGAATGCGGCAGCCAATTGCGCACAGCAATGTCCCACAAACAGTCGTAGATTGAAAATGACCAATTTATTATTGTTTTTGGTTTTGGAGGGATTATTATTAGGCTCTGTGTGGAGTAAGGAAACTTGCCCAAGGTTTGGCCCTCTGCCTGGAATTGAACTCAGGTCTCTCGCTTGCAAAGCGAGTGCTCTAACCACTGAGCTACAGGACTCCACGAAGTCATGGTGATGGATTTCCGCATGTGTCAGACCCAGTGCTGAACCCCCCCTCTGTGCCCCCCCCCCCCCCCCCCCCGCAAGAATACAGGAGGTAGCGAAGAGTGTGCAGGACTGTATTTGGAGGGACATACAGGAAATGGATGAAGAAAAGCATTGAGAAGGTGGAAGGTGACTGCAGTGCAACAGATCTTTCTTCGAGTTGGTAAGTGGGTGGAGAAGAAAGGAAGGTAATAGAAATTTACTGGAAGGTGCTGTGTTTTTTTAACTTGTTAATGTGCCTATCTCGATATA